TTGAATGTGAAAACCAGCGGTCCAGGCAGAACCAGTTCCAGCACCAAGCGTTCGGCTGAGTTCGTGAAGCAATATGCTACGAAATATGAGGAACTACAGCAGCCACGCTCTTGTCTGCGCGGGCGTGAAAGTCTCGCAAGGATGCGGAACTGGGTCAAGCACACGACACAGACGATGAATGCGTTGGACACATCTCTATACGAGACGTTGAGGCCGGCTTGGCCCCTGTGGCAGCGGTGTTAACTTTGTCTCCGGCTGAGAAAGCTTTGCAGCTGGTGCAGCAGAAGCTACCTGTGCTTCAGTCCACTCACCAAGACGGAGCAGAGTATGCAATCTCTCCAGATCAGTACAATGCTGTGATCCTCGCCATCGCGCCCTTACAGCGCCTGTGGAACAAAGCCAACGAAGCTGGACTGGCTCACTGCTTCGGAGATCGCACTCGACTTGACCCGTTGTTGGCTTTGGTTGAGAAGGATTACGGAGTCCAAGATTTCGCGTGTCCACGCGCTTCCATCGACGAAACTAAACGTCTAATGACATAAACATCGCTTGTAGCAAGGATACATGATTTTTGTATTTTGCATAGAGAATGTAGGACTTCATTTGCGCAATGATCACACCGGGTTGGCGAAATATGGATTTTAGATTGGCTTGTTGCGTGTTCCTTTTGCTTGTGCGCCCACGTAGGACATGGTGGCGCGTATTTTTGCGCATGGACCTGGAGGGAGCGGCAAAACTTTCATGCTGAAAGAAGTCATCCTCCCGGTCTACAACGAGTTTCTACCTGGGACCACCCGAGGGGTCGCTGCCCAAAACTCTGCCGCTCGACTCATAGGAGGAAGCACGTTCCACCATATGGCTGGTCTCACACGGGCGCAAGAGCTGTTGCTGCAAAAGCCCTCTAAGACCAAGAAGGAGGCTTTGCAGCGTAAGTGGTGGCGGCTTTCGCTGGTCTTTGTTGATGAGATTAGCTTGACTGCACCGAATTTGTTGGCAGTGCTGCACGGATCGGCCTGCTATGGTCGTTTGGACCTGTCTCCGGAGGATTTTCTGAGTAACATTTTCGGCAATGTCTTGTGTCAGATTTTGGCTGGTGACTTCCTGCAGCTGAACCCCGTGCGAGCCAGATCCCTCATGGAAGCCTTCGGCATTGAAGTTCCGGGGGTGCCTCGATACGAGAAGATGGACGACCAACAGCGCAGGAAGAAAGTCGACATCGATGAACATGGACTTGCAGTCTTTCGCGCCTTTCTGAAACAGGTCATCTTGTTCAGAGGCTCTCACCGCTTTCGGAAAGGAGATCCGTTGGCCGAGCTCTTGGAGACGATGCGAGTGGTCGGAGGTCGTCCCTTATTGTCTACAGCTCTGAAGGAGGCCATTCGCAAGCAGGTGTATCGCCCGCTGGGAGGCGATCCTCGTCTGAGCAACGATTACACCATGGCTTCAGGTTCCACTGCGCCCACCGGTCCTCCAGGTTTCTTCGCGCGCGGTGTCTTCAGCGCAGTGAACTGGGACCAGGTAGCTCGTCTCCAGCAGTTGCGCGCATACGAGTCTGCTCGCGCAAGCTTTGGCGTTGCAGCTTTCCGCAACACCCAGACTGGACGTCCCCAGCTGATTCGTCGACACTTTCCGACGTATCTTTCGAAGTCCTTTCAGTCTCGCTTCGGAGCGTTCTTCGCCAAGCAGGAATCCTTCTTGACGTCGTTGCTACATGACAAAGGTCGTCTGCTCTACTACGTTCAAGCAGTGGATTTGGTGCATCAAAGTGAGTTCACCAACGACAAATCCATTCTGCGCGAGATTCTGGGCTTGACCAACATGGCAAGTAAAACTGGCAACCTCATGTCGTTTCTACCGCTGCACTTGGGCTTGAAGGTGAAGGTGACGAAGAAACTTTTACCACCAGAAATCGTGCAAGAGTGTCCGGCCGAGGTGATCGCCATTCAATTTCATCCCAACGAACGCTTTGGCGTGCCTGGCGCGCCCGCTGGTGGTGGAGTCCCCGCGGGGTCGCATCCGTGCTGGGAGACTGGATATGTTCGCCTGGACTATCTCCCTGCCTCGATTACCTTGCGTATTGAGGCCTGGGCCTGCAGCTAAATATAATCTGAACATCATTTATACGCGGATATGACTGAAGACAGGTGTCCTGCACAGTTTGTGACCATCGTTTTTTTTGGACAGTTTAATCTAACATTCTGTAGGACCCATACATCTCTGAGTCACACCTGACTTGCAACAGGATCAGCAAGAAGATTATACCGGACAGCTTCTGCCTGGAGTGTGGCATTTAGAACCGAGTGAAGATTCTTTCCGCGTGCAATTGCATCGCAAAGGAGCCTTGATGTTGGATGTTACTCGGATACAGTATCCTCTTGCTCCGCTGGCTGCTGGAACCTACAACAATGCCCAAGGCAAGACCATCAAAGGAGTTGGGCACACGATTGATTTTTCGAAGCCAGATTATTTTTCGGCAGACGATTATACGCAGCACTTGTACATGATTCTTGGACGCGCTCAAGCTCTCGAGTATTCCTTATTTCGCAATTTGCCGGAGACGCCAGAAGGCGATATTGATTTTTCGATCTTTGAGACTGGTCCACCTGCGTATATTGCCGAGTTTTTGGATCGACTGGAGGACTCTGATGTGCTTGTTGGCTTGTTTAATGTGCTATATTGGATATCCACGGATTGATTCACCCTGCTCGAGTGATAAGATATGAAATAGCATTCCATCCGCAGGCGCGTGTGTCGATCTTGTATCGTTGTTCGCAGGAGGTTGCGCTTTTGTCTCGCTCCGCCATCGAAGAAGCTCGCAGACATCTGCCTGGTTTTCCAGCCGCGGAACACCTACCGCGACCGGCCCGCAGAACACCAGAGGGTCGCTTTCAGTACGTCCCAGGGGCTTGGACGGCGGCTACGAAGGCGAGCGTAGTGACTGAGTTCAGGGGAACCAAAAGGAAGTACGACCCCACCAAGTGGCGTCAGCTGCGAACGGATTTCTGCGAGATCTGGTCTCTTTCGCTGGAAGAGGTGGCCACTCCCACGGCACAATTTTTCCGAGAACACGGGGCTCTGCGTGTCTTTGCCGCCGAAGCTGGTGGAGGCGGCGATTGCTTCTTCTTGTCCACTGCGGTCGTCCTGATGCAGGCGCGAGCACTCCACCCACGACTCTTGAATCTTTTCACTTCCGATGAGGTGGCTGACTGGGACGACCGAATTACGGTCGCGGCTGCTCTCCGCAAGATTGTCGGGCGACACATGCGCGCCAAGACGCCAAAAGCATTCTTGAACTTCGTCGTAGGGTGTTTGGTGCGCGAAGCTGCGAGGACATGGCTGGACGACTGGTCCATGATCGCACTCTTGCGTGGCTCCCCTTTTGCTTTCTTGAAAGACGCCAACGATGTTCTCGGAGCAGAAGTTGCAGACGACGCCATGCTAGTTCGCTACAAAGAGGGCGACAGCTCCGTGACGAGGAGCAAGAGAGTGCGTTCTGGCACTGCGGCCCTGGTGTCTTTGCAGGATGCCGTGAGCACTTCTCTCGAAGCTTGTGGGAATGCTCATTGGGCAACAGACGTCGACTTTGTTGCGTTGGCCACGGAGCTCAATCTTGGCTTCATCATTGCTGGAAATACTTGGACCCAGACGTCTGTTGTTCGAGGCTCCGGTGACACATCTAACAAACGTGTGTGCGATATATCCATACGAATGTTGGACCTATAGGATAGTTTTCTTCACTTCCGTTGTGTGTGTGTCTCATATACTTCTTGTCGATGCAGGCGAACCACAACAACGCACGGTCTTGCACTCCTATTTACAAGAAGATCAGACGCCGCAATTGTGGATTTCTCTGTATTATGTGGACGGTTATCATTTTCAAGTGCTTATTTTCGAGATTTTGGGACAATGCCATTGTTTCTTTCGTGCCGCGGATCTGCCAGACCCTTTACGCCAGTGCTTGATTTGAATGCAAAACAAAAATCCTTCATGATGAAGACAGAGCTTGGTGGTGAAGTCCCCAGCGCATGCTGCCTTGGTGGTGGAGTCCCCAGCGCATGATGTCCAACAACGTGTCAGAGAGTGAAAAAGAGATTCCCACCGGCTGTGTCTCTTTTTATACACAGTGGTTTGACGTATGTGTTTGCATTCGGGTTCGTGGGCTCCATCTTGTTCTCTTTTTTGTATCTCTTTCGATTTATCTATCTATCTACCTGTCTACCTGCCTGGTTGCTTCCGTCCTTTGGGTATGTTTACTATCTATATGTACCTCTACTACAATATCTTTATTTGTGCATATATTTCTATCTCTATATCTCTTGTTCTCTCTATCTCCCTGTGTGAAAATGTCCATATGTAAGGGTCTGACGCATGCAGATGAAGGAAAGGACATGGTGGGGAGATGCAGAGTGTGAGGGTCGCTGGGGGTGGTTGTGGTGGTTGTTGTACTTTGTCTCAATTTTTTTGCCATTGTGGTTGTGGTGGTGTGTGTTGTGGAGGTTGTGGTTGTCGGTGCGTTGATCTTGTTGTTGTTGTTGTTGCTGTTGGTGGTGGTGGTGGTGGTCCTGGTAACGGTAGCTGCTGGTAGCTGCCGGAGAGGTTGTTGTGGAGGTTGTGGTCGTTGTGGCCTAGTAAGCGCTATCAAATTATTTTGAAAAAACGAAGACAAAATGGACTAATGATATTAGATTCTCCCGAAAATAGTGGAATTACCATGTTCCTTCAAAATTGTCTTAACTAACCTATAGGGTAGGTCAACCAAAAGGTATCCTGATGCCATGACCCACAGCCAAATGAGGACCCAATGAGGAAGGGTATTTTGTGCACATCAGTTCTTGGTTCCGCATTGCATGCCGCAAATGTTTGGAGTCGTCGCACCTGGTCTTCTGAGCGTTTGCAGGTGTCTTCGTCGGTCCAAAGTCCACGGCGAACACACGAGCATGGAAACCACCGGCTGTCTCGTGTCCCATGTTTCCCATGTAGCAGCTTGCAGACGAAGTGAGGATTCTTGCGAACAAGTTCGAAGCCTCTAGGCAGCAATCTGGGGAGGCAACTTGAAGGTATTATGTGAAGGAACTGCCACAGCCTCGGCCCGACTTTCAAATACAGAATATGGGACATGACCCGAAGAACAAATAGGTGCGACTGGGGCCAGAACCCCATTTTGTAAGGTACGAGTTCCGGGTCGACTCCAGGTACCTGTTCAGAAGATCGGAGCTGACGTAGTCGAGGGGGCCGGCGTAGTCGGAGACTGATCCTGTCGAGGTGGAGGCTGAAGCACCTCCATATAGCGCCTACAGATCCCTGGTTTAGCTGAAGAAACAACATCATTCCATGGAAGGTTGATGGAACCAGGGCCCGGGCTTGGTTGTTGTCCCAACATGATCCAACATGTTCAAAAGGAAGATCTGAGTTCTTTGATATTCTTCTAGATGTTCGCTGTGGACTAGTTCCAACTCCGGACCATCCGTGTATTTAAAAATCCTAAAATGTACCCTACAACCATGTAGGTAGTGGATTGTCTGGGAAATGAATGCGATGTTTGAAACACCCCAGGGTGACGCCACGTCTCGGGGCTGTGGCTCGGGACTTCTCCATCGAGGTCTTCTTGGGAGACTACGAATTGACTTGGTCGGATCACGCCAGGAGAGGATGTTTCGGAGTCAGGGTGGGGGTGGTGGGGGTGCACACTCTGAGCCAACATGAAACCCTAGGGATCCGCAGACCATCTTAGAAGGTACGACTGGACCCTCCTGGCACCTGCATAACAGTGTCTCCAATCACCGTACCTCAGAAGGTATGCGGATCCATAGGGGTGGTGCCAGGGGGGTCTTTCTGGGGTGGCATCTCCAGTCATTCCAGTCCCGATGGATGGTCGACCGGTCGACACGGTCGACACGATGCAGCGGAAGAGGTCTGAATCAACTGAATCAACCACTGCTAAGCTAGTGCAAACCCCTGGAAATATCGTGAATGGTCTGAGAAGATGGAGAGCGTTACGATCCAAACAAACACGGAAGTGGAGTTCATCCTCTGCTTGGCATTCGGATTTCAAGGTCTTTCCAGGGGTCATGCCATCCACTTCCATGATTGTTGGAGAGCGGGTTGGGCCACGATTGATCTTCTTTTTGAAAGGCCAGGCATCTGGTTTTGGATCATATATCTCATAATATGGTGGATTATGGTGGCCCACCAACATCATGTGTCAAAAAACCTAAGCGGCCTGCCAACGGGGTCTCTCCGCCCTCCGGGTCCCTGTGTCGGATCGACCGATTTTGGACAGTCGCCCAGTCCATTGGCTTCGTCAGACCTCACTTCGTTGGGTTCCACGAACTTCGAAGGTTTGGGCCACAAACTTCGGTACGTCATCCATTCGCATTTTAGCTGGAGAAGGCTTTGTAGTGGTTCCAAAACCTTCAGGTTGGACAACAACGGTGCGTGCTGCGTTTGTCAGTGACAGGCAAGCTGAACATAGAATCACGTTCGCACCACTCACTCAGCACTCCAAAACTCCATAAAGTCGAGACCTAACTTACCCTACACCTCCAGTCGTACCTCCTTCAGAAGGTATGACTGGACCCTCCTGGCACCCACCCCAGTCCCACCTTCTGAGAAGGTACGACTGGAGGCCTAGGGGATCAGAAACCATGCACACTAGAAATACTTGGATGTTCAATTCAATGAACCACAAAGGGTTACACTCCCACTCACCAACATGGATGTGGAGTTCACCACCTGTTCATAAAGCAAAAGGGTCTTCCGGTCTTAATTCCCCCAGCCTATGCCATTCACTTTCCCTATCCCCTGGCCTGATCAGCAGTCCTATGTCAGTCCTGATCGGCCTGGTCTGGATTTGGTGACGGTTTTCAGGGCATGTCATCCGTCACGTCATCCTCACAGGACGCAATTGACTCTATCATGGCCTTCCAACTACGAGCGCTTTGTTCTTCTAGGAGATCGGTACGTTTGTCGCCTTGTGGAGCTAGGTCAAACATGGAGCTAGGTCAAGTTCACTGACCTATGGAAATTACATGAAATTATTTTTGTGTTGTGTTCTGATGACATCTTATACTTATACTCTCATAACTCCTATGGGTCCAAAGCCCTAGGCCTCCAAGTACCTTATCAGAAGGTGGGATAGTTAGATCACCGGAAATCGGACGTGAGATTGTTCTACCCAAAGGGTGGGTTACCGGCAAGTCACCGTTGTTTTTTGACTACCCGTCAAATCCAGGTGGAACGTTGGGTTATCCCTAGGCCTCAAAGTACCTTCTGAGAATGTGTTTGGGGTGGGTTTGGAGGGTCCAAATACATCCTGAAGGAGGTACTTGGAGGTGTAGGGTATGTTTGCTTATCTCTTATGTTCCACCCACCCAGGAAAAGTGGATAACCTGCAACACCTTTATAGGGATTTGATGGGAATTGGTTTCCAACTCAACAAGAACGGGCGGAAAGTTTGCTTTACATAGACACTTATTTTCGGAAAGGGGGTCTGTCCAGGGAAACTGAGTCAGTCCAGGGACTCAGAGGGGAGTCAGTCCAGCTCAAGAGTCATCCAGTCACTGGAGGAGATTTGAATGGTCAGATCTTTTTGGAGCGACTTGCCAGTGGAAGTGGGAGTGGAACTGGTGACAGAAAACCAGCGGATTGTTGGATTCTTGCACCAAACCAACTAACTACTATATACATGTTTTGCTAGATGTTCTAGCTTGGAAGTTGAAAGACACTATCTTGCCCAATAAAAGAGGTGGAAGTTCCCTTTCAGGTCCCCTAAAGACAATTCTTTTTCACTGGTTTTCTTCACTCTCACGAATTGCTTTGCTGTGATCGTGGACGGCTGTTTGAACGGACCTGCCCCAAGGGGAGCCGGGTGAAAGCCTCATCAACATCCCTAGCGCTCCAACCATATCCTCAGAAGGTGGTTGGACTCCCCTGGCACCCACCCCAAGCCCTAGGGCATATTGGTATCATCTGGAATCAGTGAGACAGTGACGCCTCTGTGAATCAGATCTTGCGAAAGAACACCCAAGTGAATCATTTTGTCAGCTCACGTGTCATCTTATTGGGAATGCAGACACTGGCGTCGGGTCGAGCATTGGGCGGATGCGCATGGTGTTTGAAACCCGAGCTGATTTCAAGCGATGTCAGCGCAGATCATCCGACTTAGAGGCTGGTCATTTCTGGGTTGATCTTATGATTTGCAAGGCAATGCCAAAGCCTAGTAGGGAGACCTACTGTTTTCAAAGGAATCCTGACCACATCAGGTAAGAGGTATTAAGCTGTGAGGCTAGCGGAAGTACTGGGAGGAAGTTGAGTTGTTCCCCACATCTCTGTGTGGGGTTCTAGTTTTGTTGGCTGCCATCCCGCCCGCATCCGTCCTTCCGTCCCTCCGTCCTCCTCGCCCCCTCCTCCACTCATCACTCGCTCACTCACTCACTCACTCACTCACTCACTCACTCACTGCACACTCACACTCCCAGCAGTCTCCAGAGACTTAGTCACTCACTCACTCACTCACTCACTCACTCACTCACTCACTCATTCACACACACAACACAAGATCTCACCACTCACTCACTCACTCACTCACTCCATCACTGACTCCGGCTCTCTCCGCAGTGTCCAGAGACTGCAGAAGGG